AACTGGACTAACTGGCACACCGCCGTCAACGTCCTGGAACTGAACTGAACTGAACTGAAGAGACGGAGACAACTGAGACGTGAAGTAAACCTGTAGAACTGCAATATAGAACACTCGCAGTGGTAGGGGCCCGAACGGGATTTACTACCGGAGGAAATCTGGACGCTCGATTGGCCGTGACCATCTCCTGTCCTGTGCAAACTGACTGACTGACCGACTGACCTGACCTTCATGGTCATTGTTCCACTACGCTTCGTGAACATGAGCATGCAGAATTTTTCTCATACAATATGGATGGGTGATGTAAGTTAATAATTGATTTATTCATTCTCAAAGTTGGAGCCGTATATGGATGAAGGTTTTATCAAAAGATCGTTCGAGATGTTGGGCGAAACAGTGATAAGCGTCAAAGTTATTCGCAATAAAGTTACTGGTCAAACTTTGGGTTATGGCTTTATAGAGTTTCCCAGTTCGACCGCTGCACGGGATGCTATGTTGAAGCTGAATGGAAAGCCAATCCCCGGAGTTGCTGTGAGTCAGAATAATTGTGATGATTCTTGATTTTTATATTCCCTGAATAAAATGTTTTATCGATATCCCTAGTAGACGTCGTAGTCTGTTTAAGGTTACTCATGTAATTATAAAAGGTTTCAAGTGATAGCCAGCTAGTGCATGGTTTATTGTACCATTGAATCTGTAAAGGCTCAGTGCTCCACTAGTAAATGCGGGCAAGAGGAAGGTCGGGCTAGGCCCCTCCTACTGGCTATCTCTGGATCCGCACAACCCACGGTTACAGACACTAAATGATATGTAAATGAATGTTAGATAACATACTGAAAGTTAAGATTGATTTAGACGGGGAAATGACCGTAGCAACTGATTGGCCGAAGCAGGCTAAAGGAAATCTAGAATATTCATTCGCGATCTACAAGTATGAGTTCCTTGGTGACAGCCGCTCTTTGAAGATGATGTTTTGATCTTTATGATGCAATGGCTTCCATTATTTTACTGCTTTAGCCTTTTCGGAACCGTTTTCCTTCTGTCACAGGATGTGCATCCAGCGGTCACAGAATTCGTGACGTCAACTGAGAAAGGGGAAACTTTAGTTGTAACAAAATAAAACATTCAGA